CGGTATATTTAAGGAACTCTTCTCTTGACGCGCGAGGTAACATTTTCATATGCGATTCATTCGTACGGAGGGGAGATTGACGCGGAGAAATTAAATATTATCGCGACGTCGGCGCGAATGCCGAGTGCCGAGTGAAATTCTGAAGCGACGACGGCGCGAAATGTCATTTGCCGTGCATTTATAGCGCCGACGTGGATGCATCTATTGTTTAACGTCGCGCGTTGCGTCTCTCTTTATCCTATACATATTCGCGCGTGCAAAACGGGACGCGTCGTTCGTTCGATGTCGATCGATGGAAAATGCACGTATATATATATATATCTGCTCTTCAGCGGGAAAAGGTCGATACTTTAGCGAGCGATTGTGTAAAGTGTAAAGGTAAAAAAAAAAAAAAAAATAGCACGAAATTTCTCCCACGAATGTGCGACTCGTCAAAACGAGTGAAATTCATTCGGCTTGAAAATGGAAATCATTCGCGGATTTTCTAATCTACTCTATTATCGCAGTAATATCATTCAGGATGTTAATGTCGAAACGTTGAAATCAGGCTGAATTCAATTCGCTTTCTCTTTAATATCATTTCCTTATAATTACTTTATTAGCGGTTGCAGTAATAATATATTTTTGCATACCCGGTACTTTTTTGTACTTTTCGATACTTGCGTATTTATGTTTACATTGTATGCCAGAAATAAGTAAGTCCTTAATTGAGTATGTTTAATCTTGAAATAATGAAAATGATCATAATTTTTTTGGGAAACGTAAAACTAGAAGCATTTTTGATGTTTTGATTTACGTTTGCTATTTTTATTTTTGCTATGGACATTTATTCGTGTATTTGCATTACAAATAAGACAAGAAAGAAAGCGAACAAAGTATACAATTTGCACCTCATTATGTATATTCATCTAATGAAACTTTAATGAGAACGGATAAAACGTGCAATGATATTCGAAAATAAAGGACGCATATAACAGACGTGCGAAAAAAAGTACAATAGCTTTTATAGCTTATCTTTCCCGAGACATTTTCACTGATTGTGAGTAAAAGTCGATTCCAGATTAGTTGGAGAATCTATTATTAAAATTAAAATTGTATATGGAAGAGGACACACACACACACACACACACACATACACATACACAAATATAAAACAAAAAAGAAAAAGAGAAAAAACAACTGTGAACGAGAACGAAACTGGCGTTTTCGGAATAAAAGGAATCTCGGAAAGCATTTGGTGGCCGCAGAATTGCCTCTGAATAGACTTGCAACGGAACGTGACGTTCTCGGGAAACGAATTCGAGGAACATTCGCCAAAAAGTTGAACGCTCCTCGATACTTTTCACGAATATATTTGCCCCGCGGACTTTATGTGTGTATATGCTCAAGTATAGGCATGCATAATGAGAGATATTTGAGTTTGTTGGAAAGACCGGCAGCGATTGGCTTTCATACGAAAGCTCTGTTTTATTTCCCCCATCGGTTTTCCCCCTCGTTCTCACACACGCATGTTAAAACTAGCATACAGTTTGAACAACTTTTCCGTCGAGTGTTTTTGCTGGAAACAGAGCGGCTGATTCTCTTTATTGTTTAATTTGTTCAGCTGTTAATAATGAAATACATCTTTGTGGAGATTATATTTGAGTTTATATGTGTTGTGCGTGTACTTCTTGTTATATTTTTCATGCATAGAAATATATGACAAGCGATCAATATTTGAGCAAATCAAGGAAGCGGTTCTCCGATTTTTTCTAAAACGGAAATAGAATAGAATAATAAATGTCAATTAAATATGATCGATAAGACTTTTAAGATACGATTAATCGTTTAATTCAACATTAATTTTCGCCGATATTTAATAAACATAAGGGGACTAGGCAATAGTATTCGTTGAAAATGAAGTCTTTTTTGGGGAATTTATTTAAAAAATGAATTAAAAATTGAGAATTGTCCTTTAACAAAATGTTTATTAGAATCATAAACCATAAAAAATTTTTTTTAAATTGAGAATATGCATTAAAAATGGCGCTGCAGATGGCTGATCGAAAAGAATTTTTAAATAAGAAAAAAAATCAAACAGGCGATTAAAATGGCGATTTTTTTAAAAAAGTTCGTTGAAAAGCAGATCTGTTTCATTTTTTTTCTCAAAAACTAAAGTTCGCACAGACTTTTTAGAGGTTCAGTCCGAAATTATAGTGTATTGTGAACATGCTCAATTTTTTTCAAGTTGATTTGAGCTTCTGTATTTGAGTTATGACTGCAAAATTTATTTAAAAATTTTTTTTAATCAGCAGCGCCTTTTTTAATGCATATTTTCAACAAAAAAAAAATTTTTTTTTTATATAGTTTATGATCCTAATGAACATTTTGTTAAAGGATGATTCTCGATTTTAATTCATTATTTTGTAATAAATTCCCCCAAAAAGCCTTCATTTTCGACAAATATTATTGTCTAGTTCCCTTAACTCTGTAATTCTCTATTGTTTTACTACTTTTCGGATTTTGCCTGCAGGAAGAAAGATAGACACGAGATAGACTGTTAAAGTTAATCGGTGTTGGTGGAATTGGTTCTAAATTTAATTCAACTACGGTCAAAGTTAAACTACGCGGAAGGAATCAACCCTTGACCCTTTTATATCCTTTTATACGCAAAATACCTACAAAATCGCCCATCAGCCACGCAGACATTCTAGCGCAACCGCATTCATATATTCCGATCCTGTACTTTTTTTCTTTTTTTAGCTAAAATAAAACTCCGACTACATATAATGTTATTCAAAGATTGAAGGCATTTTTCACAAAAGTTAAAAATTTAGTAAATTAATTGGTAAACTATATTTTTTTATATCACATATATAGGATGTACAGATGATATGAATAATGCTAATCGTAAGAGTTTTTCTCCTTTGTTTCTTTCTTTAACGCTACGTGTTGCTTTAATCGATTCACAAATTTATTGCCATATAAATGAACACATGCAGGTTGATTCATGCCAATTGGCAAAAGTGCCGATCTGCATACCGATGCCTTTAACGCACTGCAGTCGATAAACTGCACAAAAGAAGCCAAGCTAAATCATTTATTCGACGCGTAAAAACCAACAGACTCTCTGATTCACAGCCGGAAATTGCAGCATCGTTTTCATCGCAATATTAATAAAAAGTTTATTACATTTTAATCAATTCACTTTCTAACCGTTGGAAAATTTTTGAATCACAAATAGCCGTTTAAATTTTAGCGGAGATAATACATTTTTGAGAGAATTAAAAATTCATACTGTTAACTATATTTTGATAGGAATAATTGAAAAAACAAGCAAAATTTGAAAGAAAAAAGAATAAAAAATTATAAAGCGAATTTTTTATCTCTATTAATATTATTAATCAATTTGTTTTAGCAAAAAACTTGACAAAAGATACCTTATTTTATTAATTACATATTAATCAGTGAGTCATATTTCATCAATCGCTTTTATAAATATTTGTATTGTCATTACAGTCGGTATGTGGTATTAAATATACCGATCATATGACAAAGGCTTATCGATTCGTTGAATCAAACGTGCGGAGACACTCTCGTTCTCGTATAAATAAAAATTACGTTGACAGTTTCGACGACGAATTCGCGCGCAATTAAAAGGTAATAAAGGGTGTCGTTCTCGAATAGATTAGACAGAACTCAGAGATACGAGCGAGTACCAATCCAGAATTCGATAATGGAATTCTAGGTCAGAGCAGATCGCTCTGTACGGCCAATACGATGTTCCGTGTAGCAATATGTGGTCGGTTTAGCGGTCCAATCGCGCGCGTATAATAACTTTCTAATCTGATAGGAACTGCGAGATGCTACGTGCTCCGCACGACGCTTAAGATACGTCGACGGAATTCACGAAAGTATATATATTCGCTCTCGGGGAGGTCGCCCGACGATGATTAATGCGCCTGTTAATATGACGTCATCCTCATGGGCAAGTAACGTTGGTTGGCGTTGGGCGCAGGGTGTACATCCCGGGGACGTCAATTTATGATATTGAATGTCAAAGGCTGAACGCGTAAAAGGCTATCTCGTTCATTTTAACATTTCTGCACAATATTCGATATATCTCGATATATCTAATAATTCCACGGCAATACTGTCTAGATTTTTGAAAAATTTTACGCCGTATCAGAAATATATACAGGGTGTCCCATTTTAATTTACCCCCTTCCAAAAAAAAAAAAAAAAACTTATTTTTGATTGTAGAGCAAAATGCTTTAAACAAAAGTTGTTTAGTTTGAAGGGGGCCATCTGATGGTGATCTTCATTTGATCTTGGATCAAAGTCCAAAGAGATATATCAAGGTCAATTTTATTTTTTTTTTTAATGGAACCCCCTATTTTTTATTACATATTCTTATAGCTCTTCTTGAAATCTTTTCAAAACACTATATTAAAGTATTTTTTCATTAAGTATTTTTCGAGTTATTTTATATCTTATTCTGACATATTTTGATATAAAATATTTCGTAAAATATTTTATTTCCGATAATACTTTTATGCACAGAATAATGAGATAAATCAATTGGTGTAAATAAAACAAACAAATAATTGTTTTTAAGAAAAAATACATTGTAAATAGTTATACTTTTTCCTCCCTCTTCAAACCAAACAACTTTTGTCTGAAGCATTTTATTCTACAATTAAAAATAAAAAAGTTTTTGAGGGGGGGGGGGGAGAAATAAAAATAAAACACTGTGTATAATGAAACTCGAAGGCGTAAAATAAATAGAATATACGAGACGCCAGATTATTCAGTGCGTCGAAATACATATATTAAGCATTAAACATAAGATATAAAATTGCGAGATAATATTTCTTTAAATTCTCTAAAGTTATCAAAGGAAAGTACAAGGCCTTCGTTCTTATTATTCTTCCATTATTATTCTTCGTTCTTATTATCCTTATTTATTTACGATTCTTGTTTTATCCTCATTCGTTTTATTCCGTTTTTTTTTTTCGCAGCTTCCGATCTGGACTGCATCAGAGCCCTGTTCAATGAGAAGGAGAAGGAGCTCTCGCTGGCCGTGGCGAAGGTCGAGGAGTTGACGCGCCAGTTGGAGGAACTCCGGGGTCGTCAAAATGCCCCCGCCGGTGGTGGAAGCGCCGGCAACGTCGGGGGCGGTCTCGCGGGTGCCACCGGCAACGGACACCTGGCCACCCCGGCTAGCGCCGAACTGGAGAAACTTAGGAGAGAGCTTATGGTAAGCTCTCGTGCCATCGATTCTTCGTCTCGAGAGAGCAGCCGACCGCGCTTGCACGGGGATATCACCGTATTTGTCCCATTTTCAACCGTATGCTAATCGACCATAAAGTACACATTCCAATAATAGCAGGATGGCTCAGAATTTCTGAAAAAGATAGATGAAAGATTAATCTTTCACCATTCATAGTGCAAACATAAAATAATATCTTCTTTCCCAGACAGCACAAAACGTCCTCAGGATCATCCTGAATATGTCCAGGATGGTTCAGGATATTTGTAGGATGTTTTAAGATATTATTATAAATATATTTTATGAAAATTTAATATGCATACATGATTACTTTCGGTTATGTAGGCTATTTAATATAATTTAGAAATTTTAAGTATTGTAATAAGTATTAATGTCCTATAAATGTCCATTGGATAACTCCTGGATGTCTGTAGGATATCTGCCCTGTCTATTATATTGGATGTCCTTTGGATTTCCAGAGGATATATACATGTGCAATTAATTGTTAACATTAATTTCGTTTAATATTAATAATTGAATTTGATGCGCACATTTTCATATATTCAAAATTATTATTTATTTAATATTTCATGAGAAATGTTACTATGCGCAACATTCCAAAAACTTTACAAAAAATAGTATTCAACCGCTAGTTCGTTTGTTTACCGCTATGCGACGCGCGAACTCGTATTTGAGATTTGGTCATGAGAATTATATAAAGCTTGCAAAGAGCAACTAACAGGAAATTAAAAATATAATTATTTTTTATCAGTTCAATTTTTCTGATGCAATCCCAACATAGGGAATTCAGATTCAGATATTGGATTGTTTTGAAAATATTACACATAAACCTAAAATATTTATGTACAGCACGAAAACCTCAAATATTAAAGAACGTGAACTATTTTTAGTATTAGATTTTTAGTATTGGCAGTAAATAACAGAACGCAATCTTAATTTATATTTAAATTTTAGAATTTGTTCTTTTTAACGTGTGAAAAATATCCCTAACATATCCTATAGAAATCCTTAAGATGTTCCATAGGATCTCCCTGGATTCTCCAGAGGCTAGTGTATGGCTATCATTTACTCTTCCTCAGGACATCCAGAGGAGATCCGAGGATTAAAATAGGATATCCTCAGGATATCCTACATGTATGTCCTGGATGCCCTTTGGACGTCCTAAGGACATCCTTGTGCTGTCTGGGTTTTAACATTCGACACCTTAGTATCACATAGTGCAAAAATAAAATAATATTTTCTTTTTAACATTCGACACCTTTAACATTTACATTTTACCAATTAACTGGTAAAATGTAAATGTTAAGGTGTCGAATGTTAAAAAGAAAATATTATTTTATTTTTGTATTATATATGATATTTCTATCATTTTTTTATGAAATAGAGATAGTTTTTTGAATAAACTTTTATTATATCAAAGATATTGTAAAATGAACTAAGAGCTATTGCTCAATTTTGATGGAAAAGCGTGTCTCTTTCTTGTAATTTATAATTGCGATAGTAATTTTGTTGATTTTATATTTATATGAATAAATATTGATGATTGAAAATGGAGCAATGACATTTCCACGCGTATCTAGGACAAAAGAATCGATATCAATAAAGATAATTTAATGAACTTTTTTTCAATTTGTGCACAGTTTCGCAACAAGATGAACGAACAGCAAAACCAAATGGTGTCCCAGCAACGTCAGGCTCTGGCTCAACGGCAGGCCGAGATGGCATCGATAGACGCGCGAATAGCTCAGCTCCAAAGTCGTCTTCAGCGCAAGAGAGCGTTAAATCAGCGGCTGGCGCATCAACTGGGTCCTAACGGTGGCAGCGGACGTGGCGTCGTAAGCGGCGCCAACAACGCAGGATTCCCGGACACGAAGCTCGACGGCTTTAACAACGGCGGCAAGCTGAGACCGACCGGCAACATCGCCGCGATCGAGCCGTACTCTCACATACCGAACGACAACGATTTCAATCTGAACAAAAACGACCCCAAGTACCAGACACTGCCGTACAACACCAAGTTCACGGTGAACTTCAAGACCATAGAGGACGATGTGAACAAAAACAAGATACAACACTCGGCGAGCGCCTCCCAGTTGGGACAGCGGCCGACCTTTCAGCAATACGGACACCAAATCGTTCACAGTCAGTCGCAATCGCACATTCAGGGTGAGTACTTTACTTTTTAGCACAGTATATTGCGGAGTATAAACGAGTCAAACTTTAACTCGCTGGGAAATTTAAAGTCGATTTTGCCGAAAGAAAATATACACAGTTTTTGAATAATTTTGATTTCAAAACACTGTATATAGTATCACATTTTCAATGATAATGCACATAATTATTTAAATTTTATTTAAAAAGAACACGCATACATTAAACAATTATTTATATTAAGAAATTGTTTGAGATATTAAATAGAACTTATTTATCAAAAAAATTAATTCTTATACGCGCTTATATAAATTAATGGCTTTTATATTGTAAATATTAAATAATTATTTAATAATTATTTAATCATTATATATATATGATATTAATGTAATTTTACGTGAATCTAATAGTAGCCTAAAATGTTTAGGGCAATCTCAATTATTAGGAAGCAATCAACAGCAACAACAGCAGCACAATCAAAATCTCGGCAATCAACCCGCGACGATTCAATCGAGTTGCACCTACAATAATAACAATAACAATAATAACAACAACAATAGCAACAATCTTATCAGTAACGCACACAACTTCAGTATTTAATAATTTTATTATCATTTTATATATATATGATATTAATGTAATTTTACGTGAATCTAATAGTAGCCTAAAATGTTTAGGGCAATCTCAATTATTAGGAAGCAATCAACAGCAACAACAGCAGCACAATCAAAATCTCGGCAATCAACCCGCGACGATTCAATCGAGTTGCACCTACAATAATAACAATAACAATAATAACAACAACAATAGCAACAATCTTATCAGTAACGCACACAACTTCAGCCCGGACAATCTGTCTCAAGGTCTTCGTCTTCATCAGAACCATCAACAGCAACAACAATCGCAGGTGCAGCAACATCAGAATAACAATGCCCAGCAGAAGCAACATAACGTGACTGGCATTAGCGGCGCATCGACGACATCGAATGTCGTCGGTGTGACTGCTCCGTCGATCACGCAAGCCGCGCAGAATTCGCATCGGAATCTACAACAGACCGTAGGTGGACATCAGAAACCAGTATCAAGCGTGGCGCCGAGTTTTTCCGTCAAGTCGCAGATTTATCAGACCTCCTCGACCAAGATTCATCCGGTGATGCCGCAAACGTTGAGTCTATTGGGTCGCGGGCATAACAACAACAACAACCCGGCGCAGAACTACATTGGCAACAATCAGCAGCAAGCAGCAGTGACCACGCAGCTGCAATCCAATGCGGGAAATCAAGAAGCGAATTATAGACACGGTTACTCCGCTGTCCAACAGCAGCAGCAACAACAACAGTATCCCAATCAGACAACTGGTATTCACGCGTCCTCGCCGGCAGCCGTCTATCAGGTTCAGAATTCGTCGAATCTCACTGGTTTTCATGGCACCGTCGCGACAACCTTCGGCAATTCTTCCCAGAAGTACAACCAATCCTCGCAGTTATCGAATTCTAACGATCTCGTGCAGAACCAGGATCAAAACCAGGTATTGAACAGTCAGAAGGTCAAGTTTGAGCCAGGCAAAAGTCAGGATAAATTTGAACACGCATTACCGCCCAGTAATAAGCATGAACAACAGCAGCAAAATAGGTACGATCAAAATCTCACGAGTAAATACGAGCCCCAGCAACAGAGCGGCAAGCATGATCCAGTTGGAATTCAGGCGAAACACGAGCAGCATTTGCACAACGTTAAGTACGAGTCCGGTTCCCAGAATTCGCAACAGTACGGCAAACACGAGCAACAACAACAGCATGAAGGAAGATTGCCGATCAAGTACGATCACAATTCGACGTTCAAGCACGAGCCTTCAAACACTAGCCAATATAAGACGGAATACAAACCGGAGCCGAACAAGTACGATAACAGTGGTCAGAGCAAATTCGAAACGATGCCGACTAAATACGAGCAGAATTCCACAACGAAGCACGTAGTAGATCACGTAATCGCCAAGTTCGAGATTCCCGCGAAAACACCGTACGAGTTTGACAACAGACCGACGACCAAGGGCAATGACGGCGAGAGGAAGAATTTTAACGAGTCACGAATGGATGATAAGACAAAGCCGGCACTGCCGCCGAAACCGAGCAAACCGAATCCACCGCCAAGACTGACTCATCATGAGAAGATCGATGTGCCGTCATCCGAAGGCATAAACGAGGGCAAGATGACCAATACGAATCTCAATTCTAGGTTTGTATACTTCTAATTTTGAATATGCCGGTGTGTAGAGATGAGAAATGAATTTTTATATAATTGAAATACTTATCTTTTTGAACTGCCTTAAATTTATGTTTTTAAGAAGATGAATGACATTAAGATGAAAGAAATAAATAATATTGTTCATTCATCGAGATTAATTTGATCGGATATATAAGACTTAAGAGTTATAGAATTATAATTATTGTTGCTCTTCAATTAAAGCGTATCGATGCAAGATACGCGATTGCTTATTATATAATAATGCTTCTCTCATCAATTATTGATGTTAGAAGTATTAAATATTATTCATTTTTAATTTAAACATTCTTATTTTTTATTATTTTAGTTTTGTTATTTGGTGAAATATATATTGTATATGTATGTGTGCAAAGAGCCTCATTCATGTTACAGTTTAGGCACGTGACAAGCTTTATAAATCCTGCCCTTTACACTCCCGCCTCTTCGCATCTCTTCTCATGGAGTTACGAGGCATCTCGTCGAGGAATTCATTGTGCGATTCGCGCGAACTCAAACTGCGGAATGACAAAACGATTACCGGGTTAATTATAAATGTTAATTAGTTCGCGATCGATTTGGCGAGTGAATCGAAGTCTCTCTCTCTCTCGAATAATAGACACCGAAATAGAACCGCTGTGTCCGCGTGTGCCGCGGAGACGACGCGGGCCCATGCTCTCCTCTTAGTGTTCACGAGTTCTCCGAAGCCAGTACGCGCCAGTGGTACGCGCGATCAACATTCAGTCAACGATTTCAATCGTGCACGATTAACGCGCAACGATCCTCAATTACGCGGCCATTAGTAGCAGTAATATCTCTCTATTGGATGGTCAATCTTGATAGACAGATTGAGCGACAATTATTTCAGATCGCGACCTTTATTTATGCCCTTTGCATTTTGTATGTCGAACAACGATTCGACACGGTCGTTTCGGATTCGAAAAATCTTGAATGGGATTTCAGCATTGCAAATTATATTCGGTTTCCCTTTCGGTGCAGTGGGTAAAAAATCGTAAGTCTTGCCCGAAAGATAATATATTTCTCGATATAATTAATCATGCAATTTTATTACTTATTTTTTATTATCTTGTATCGATTGTGCCGAGCTTTTTAAAAGTGTTAAGTTATTATTTTAATTAATTTTTTGAATTATAACTATTTAATAGAACGAAAATAAAATTATTTATCAATTTGATTAGTTACAACTATCACTGTCCGTGTAATGATAACGCAATGCTTACTGAGTTTTTAATATTTCAAATTCGATTTTTTTAATCTCGTGTATAGGTCAGATAAGGACGAGGATATACCGCCAATTCCCACGTCGGAACCGCCTGAATCTCCCACGGAGACACAGCTGGCAAATCATCAAATCATCAAGGCTCGGCCACTGACTCTGAAGAAAGCACCGATATCGGAGCAGCCTAAGCTGAGATACAAATCCAATGTTCACGTATCGATAAATCGACGAATTGAAATGCCCCCGGCCTTCCTGTTCCCGGAAACGGAAATCCCGGCGGATCTTATGCAGACCGAGCAACAACAGCAGCAGCAACATCAACAACAAATTATCGATACTACGGACAATTGTAAGAGCTCCGTTATAAACGACGATATTGGCGACGGCGAGAAACTAGAAGAGGCGGATATCATCGATGCTCTGAATGTCATCAACATCGAGGATAAGCCATCGAAGATGAAGACCGACTCGGAACTAACTGGCGAAGTGGAAATAGACGGAGGAAAGATATCGGAGGTGATGAGGAGGAAAAAGGGAAATCTCAAGTCGTCGAGTACGACAGGGAGCGGAAGCGGTAAGGTCAATTTATCCAGACGGGTATCGTTCGATCCATTGGCGTTGTTGCTCGACGCTAGTCTCGAGGGAGAGCTGGAGCTCGTGAAGAAGACCGCGAAGGAGGTTGCCAATCCCAGCTCCGCCAACGACGAGGGTATCACTGCTCTGCACAACGCCATATGCGCCGGTCACCTCGAGATCGTTAAATTTCTCGTAGAATTTGGCTGCGATGTCAATGCCCAGGACAGCGACGGATGGTAAATGGAATGATAATTGTTTTCAGTAGCTGCGTATAAAAACGGATTCGATAGAACTCTAATGAATAAAACTCTAATAGACATGAAATTCATATCCTTTGATTAATTTCAGATAGATTTTACTTTAACGGAATTTTAATTCGAGGCTTAGTCATGAAAATATACAATGTTTAAGATTGATCAAAATTGTTTCGATATTTTTAAAAGAGAAGATTAATTTCACAAAATCTGTTATTAAAATTAAAAAGATTAAATAAGATAATATAAGAACTTTTTGCGCATTTTATCTTCAATAAATTATTAATTAATTAATTAATTCGCAAGATCTGAAAGTTCAAAATTTATATAAATATCTAATATTTTTTGTATAGGACACCGTTACATTGTGCCGCCAGTTGTAATAATCTATCTATGGTGAGATTCTTGGTCGAACACGGGGCCTGTATCTTCGCGACCACTCTTTCGGATCATGAGACAGCCGCGGAAAAGTGCGAGGAGGACGAGGAAGGCTTTGATGGATGTTCAGAGTACTTGTACAGTTAGTATCATCGTCGTCGCAAATTTCAAGATCGATAATAATTAAACGCGTTTATATGGCAAAAAACTTACATCTTCTTTTTGACATACAGGTGTTCAAGAGAAATTGGGGATTATGAATAATGGTCAAGTATATGCGGTTTTTGATTACGAGGCGCAACATGCTGACGAGCTTTCGTTGAAAAACGGCGACTCCGTGGTCGTACTTCGGAAAGGCGATGATAACGAACGGGAATGGTGGTGGAGCAAACTTGGGCATAAGGAAGGCTATGTACCTCGGAATTTATTGGGGGTAAGCGTAATTAATTGAATAAGATCAATATAATCTTACTCAGAATTGAGCAAAACATCGTGCCAAATTCTCTTTTTGTTATAAATTATATAAAAAATATATTTCGCATGATTACTTTAATGTATAAATTGCTACAGAGTAAATTTTAAGGATAAAAAAAATAAATTTCAAGTACAACATTTCTTATATACGAAAAATGAGAATATTTTCTAAATAAAAAATTCCAAAGAGCAAACCTGTAAACTTCTGATATAAAATTTTAAATATTAAAAAAGTTTTATATAAATATATAAATTCACAAATATAATACTTTTTAAATATAAGATATATAAATATATCAGAAAACTAAGTTCACAATATAAAATGCTACATAGTTTCATATTTTAAAATATTTCCATCAATTTTTTAATAAAATGCATGAGCCAAACTATACATTTTATCATATGTTTCAGTTATATCCCAGAGTACAACCAGTGAAAGCGGTTGACTAAAGGGTTTCGTGCTCGCAGAATATCCGACGATTATTACAGTATTCGATTTGCAGCTTTATCTTGTTAATTGTTATCTCACGACACATAGGCACATTAGTAGCGTTATTTAATAGCATCTCATTGCCATCCGAAGCGGATACGGATATCACAAAGCGGGATTCTACCAAACTTTTTAACAGTGTAATAATCTCTTAATTTTACGGAGTAATTTTTTTATGACTTTTAAAAGGAGATTGCATTATCGTGGGTTTCTCGATCAGCGGACGGTTACGATTTGCCATAATCCGCGAATTGAACGATCGCGCAAACACACTCGCATTATTGACAATGTATATAGAACATTTATTTGAATGCGTATCTCCTAAATGATTCTTTTTTCTTTCCACATTATTTCGATATAATAGGGATGTTTTAGTAACAGATTGTATGTACAACTCTATTGGCTGATATATCTATCCCTTTTTATTGCATTTGCTACACGATAGTCGCATGCGCACACTCTCACTCTTTGATTCGAAAGTTTAGTTAAGAATTAGTGCGATATTTCGCGTACGCGCAATTGCAAGCCATTAAAATACTTATTGTATAGCATTATATCTTTCAAACAAAAGAATTTTATCTTTTTATTATATACAGGAAGGCTGTCCTGTAATTAGTGAAAGTGCATGCATAGCATTAAATCTTGTGAAATTTAGAATCGATTTTTATTCATGAAAATATCTCGTTCCCCATTTACTTAAGTTTTAGAGATGTAAAAATAAATAGGGGAACTTTTTTTTATTGTTCTATTTTAAACATTATTCGTTGTTCAATGTAAAGTCTATGCATATTACTTTTGTATTTGTACAAAATTGTAATTTAGGACATAGTTATTAAGAATTGTAAATGTTGGAATTTGATAAGTGTTGTAAAAAGATAGTGATTTACCTCGCGACGTCTTCGCTAAAGAACGATTGACTCGAAATTTCACAAGCGCTATATATGTCCACTTTTCCTCGATTCCTCGATGTTTACGATTACTCTGTAATGCGCGAGCATCGATTGTAGGAATTTTATCACTTTAATTTGCATCACCTAAATGCTCATGTTTAGATGAGGTCAGATTATATTGTTACGTTTACCCAAGAGATATTATCGAAATACTTTCGGATTTCGTTCATTTTTTTTTTTGGAGCTATTCCTAAATGACACGTAATCTTGCCAATACGCATGATGAACGATACGAGATAGCTTTTCGAATGACGATGTGCAATTATATGAAAAAGCGTAAAATTATAGAATATACTAAAGAAATATATATATATACATATATATATAATACATTTTGATTACGCCCTTAATTAAACTAATTTGATTCGACAATGCCTAAAATGTCATGTAATACCTAGAGCATCTACAAGATAATGATCGTTTGTCGACCGAGTATAACGCTGTCAGAAATTTTCTAAGCATCTTTACTACGTTGTGCTCTTGTAATAGATATGTACAGGTGTGTGATATATGCAAATATGAGCCGCTTAGAGGATTTCTGACTGCTCGTCAAGTGAAATATGTGCCTTTCGAAAGTAATAAGAAATATATAAGAAAACACACACACGGTATATTATGACAAATAAATTGTTTTTAATAAAAAAAATTACATTTATTCACGTTAGTCCACTCCCTCTCAGGCATCATTTATAATAAATATATTATAATTACGATATAAATATGTAATAATGCTAATTATACTGTTACATTGGTTGTGAATACAATATTCTCACAACATACAAAAATATCATTTGTGTGATATAAATGCTTTTGAGAAGGGCGAGGATCCAAAATACATCAAGTTACGATAAATAAAATAATTGCTATACAATATAATATAAAATAGTGTTTGGCTTCTTGATATAAAAACATGCCTTTTTAATTTTATATACACCGAAGTATACATCTTGTTTGTACCACTAAACTTGTATGTGTGCATATCTCTCTCTTTTTTTTATACGAGAGAGATATATAATTTATATAAAACAAATAAACGCGTATAAAAATAATTTAACAACAAAATTATGATATAGTTTTGTACAAGTGTTATCCAGACAAAAACTACTTCTGAGAGTCAAAGTTACATTCTCCTTATTTATACACTCTGATAAATATAACAATTATCAAAGTTTCACTCGAAAAGATTGATCTTTCAATATCTTATTGTTTCTTATTGAGTATCAACATTTTATTCATTTTTTTTCACATTTTGTACCATATGCTAACAATTTTTTTTTTCACTGAGAGATTTAAATTGTACTTATTTTCTATTTTAAAACTAATACTTATCTCAAAAAGATAAAAAAATATCTATTAAGGAATTAATATACAAAGAGGCACACACTATCTGTAGCTTACAAGACTTAAAGGGTACCAAGGCATATATAATTCATGTTATGTCTCAGCCACTATGTCTAATAACGGATAATACATATTAGTTACATTTCATATATATTATCCGCGTGTCTGTGTGTGTGTATGTCTATGTAGAATAGTCGCGCGCGTTAAGAGACTGAACAAATATATAAATATAAAACATATGTTATGTTTACGTCAATGTACAACATGTATAGGATGATCATTCAAGATATATTTAATGTTATAAAGATGGCAAAAAACTTTTTCAGTTTTTATTTTGAGAACGGAATCGTCATCAACGATTTTTTCACTGGTTAATTCTACTTTATATTATCCTGCACATTAATGTACAGGACTGACATGTTGTCAATATTAGTTTAGTTATTACCGCGTCCATATCTGATAAATATTTAAATAAAATTATCAAACAAACCATATCAAAGAGAAGAAAGACCTAAGCCTCATGTTTTGCTTCTTTCGCCATCTGCAGACAGATTTGAAATTCTTCGCATTCCTCGACTATAGTTTTAAGACTGAAAATGATTAATATTCAAATCAACAATTTTCGAAGAATACATTAAGTTTGATATAAAATTTCTCCAATTACTGCACAATCTCATAATTAAAAAAAATATAAAAATAGAGGAAACTTAAAAACTGGTCTATTTTACATACCTTTCAATATAAGTTTCCAGAGTTGAAGTCTCAAATTTCCCTCTTCTTATAGTTTCAGCACAAAATTGTGACAAACTTTTGAAACATTTACTTGTGATATTACAAGGATCTTGATTCTCCCACTTGGGTAATTCTCTGGTGATTTTCCATGATTCCAATACATAATGCATCAATGAGACCCAGTGCTGGGATTCTTGCAGTATTCTTCCCTGATCGATCAGAGCTTTCTAAAGAAATAAATCATAAGACAAGAATTAATCAACTATCACTAGTCTTTAACAAGTTGATTAAATTCAACAAATAGAACTTGGTAAATGTAATTGATTAAGTTTTTATAATCAAAATAAAAGATGAGAACAAAAACTTTGAAAAATATATATGTATGTTCAAAAAATAAAGATGTTAAACAAATATAAACCTGGAATGCATCAAGATGTATGTAAGCGCAATTGTATGCAGATTCATCATTCAAATTGGGGGAAAATACGAGACTGGCATAAATAGTTTGCCTCAAGACAATCAACTTCTCTATGAATGGTTGAATATCTGCATCTGATATTTTCTTTGAAAGAATATAACGAAGCTTTTCGTTTTTGCGCAGCGTACCGTCTTCCTGCGCATATACCAACTCCATAATCAACCGTATGAGTTGCTCATGACTAAGATCTCGTAAACCATTCACTAAATTATCATCAGATCGCTGTCTCGGCGTATTTGCAGCATCTAGTGACATTCGAGAGGACAATAATGCTTTTTTGCCTTTTGGTGTAGAAAACTCAGATTGATGGGGATCGCCAAGAGAGAGTCTCTTTTTGGCTGCCTCTCTTAACGCCATGTTTGATTTCGTTGAACTTTTAATTGGTGTATGATCTTTGGCACTCAAACTAATCAGAAAGAAAAAGATTATTAGATTTATTCAAAAACATTACTGATTTTCCTGATAAATGCATGTACAAATTGATAGATATATCGTACCTAAGCAAATTACGTCGCTTATACGTGTTGAGATCAGGAGACCATACTATGGATTTGCGTCGACCTCTTTTTTGAATGACAAGTTCATCGGGACTCTGCGGTGAGTTCCAACCATCGGGAAGTCTGTTTAACCAATTCTGCACTGTTCTTACGTCCATGTTGTGTGAGGCGGCTGAAATATATTTGCACAAGATGCCAAAACAATTTTTTCCATGCGTATCACAAATCATATATATCTCCCATTAAACAGACAAAGCATTAAAAATGTGCGCGCGCGCACACGCACACATATTTCTGCTTCTATAACAAATCTAGACTTATTTTCAAGGGAAATAACGGATTTTAGAGTTGTAATCCGTTAGAGAGCCCAATATTTGAGGTTAATTCTTAAAACATCGCATTCGCGAGTTGAATATATACCAAGAAAGCATTATTTACATTCGGACGCAACGATTGTATACTAAAACAGAAAAATGACACGGCATAGCGACGTTTGGGGCGAAAAATATACCTGGTAAAGAATTGGCGGGAACTACCACCACCGGACTCTCTGTACCTCTTGTGCGACGAGATGGTTCCAGCACGTCTCGGAGTTGTCTAACGGTTGCGGTAGTCATTGCGATCACAGGATAATATTCTCAGGCAACGTCTCGAATTATTCAAGTATCCTCCGCGAAGAGTTTCAGTCACAAGATTCGATAAGACGTCTGTCAAAATATACATCAACACCCACCGATAGGTGTTGTTATACAGATCGAAGTTCGTCGCGTCGCGTGACGTAACAGCAGCTGCGTGAAGTCATGGGAGGAGAGAGGGGAGGGGGGGGACGCGCTGTTTGACATTACGGAAGTTTCGAAGTGTCAAACGGAACGCATGTGCATGCAGAGAGATCGACCAAAGGATTTAATTGGTTCTGGTTGATTTCTGCATGCATGTCTTTGTTATGGACGGAATATTATCTTCTTCTTCTTATCTGTGTGGCTGATTAGGCTTCGCAAGCGAATATACTTATACGCCAGTTGGTGAACGGAATATTATCATAATTCTGTGCATGAAAGGAATGCAATAACGATGTCTGTCGAACCAATATTAGGAAGATGTCTTTTAATGTGTCCGGAAAAAGAACGATGGATGTAAGTTTCCGTAGAATGTAAAAAGTTCATAAATAAAAAGTATGCAATATTTTTCCATGTACAAAAAAAGGAATAAGCGTTCTCTTATGTCTGTAATTAACGATACTATACTTTCTCTATCTGTCATTTCATATCTGTGTATAATTATACGATGTAAGAGAGAGAATAATAATAAGAAGATATATAATTTTACATTCTTCCATTTAGGAGAGAGAGAGAAGGTTTGTTACACAAATTTGAGATTGATATGAAAACAGAACACATGAGAAGGCGTAAGGCTGATCCTGCCAAAATTATAAAATGTTTTAGTCGCTCTGCTGCTGGTCAAAATATGACGGATCCATACTCGTTACGCCCGCCACATGTATTATTATCCACTATCCGATACTTATTCATCGAGTAATATCAATCATTTCTTTAAATATAATTCATCCATCATAACAATTATTATTAATTACTATTACTAATTTTAACTGTTACTAATTTTTATTATTATTATTATTATTATTAAGAAATGTTATTTTTCTTACATCTGTAATGAAACATTGATTGTAATATGTAATGAGATGTTATTTACATAACATGATGGACAATAATATTCTAGGATAATCACACGAACGGATTTAGACTGGGCGTTAATATACGATTTTGTATTCGACCGATTGAGATCAGTGCGACAAGATGCTGTAATCCAAAGAATCGATATTAATATAAACATTGACATTTTAAAACCAATCGTCCGATTCCATACTTATGCTGCGCAGAGGTATAAATTGATCAGCATACATTGCATTATACATTTGGCAAGATATTATGAACATATCCTTTCTAGACTCTGCGAAAAAAAGGTTTCGGAATTCGATGCAAAAATAAATAATAAACATTTATTAGAATGTATCAAACAGTTACTCGTATTATACGATAAACGAGATTATAAAAATAGAAATTTCTTAGAACTACACGAAGAATTCGAAAAATTAGCGTATATCGATAGTAGGGTGGAGATGGAAGCTTTATATATTCTTCTCCATATCGGAAATGAAGAGGTTTTAAAAAGAGCTCTTATACTTTCTTCAGATCTGAAGTAAGTTATTTGGTATCATACCGAAGTAAAAAAAAACTTACTGATACAAACATCTATATATATTGTAAAGTATCTGTGGTATGATACAAATAATTTCTAATATATTTTTCATATATGTTTGAGCAGAAATTCACCGGCAATTCAATTAGCCACAAAAATATCACTTGCTTGGTATCTAAGAAATTATGTTCGTGTTTGTTATCTGGTTCAACAATTACCTCCAATATTGGCTTGTGCATTTTTTTGTAACTTACAGAGTTTCAGAAGGTATATCCTATCGTTTAGTTTTCATTATTATATGTATAAAAAAAAGAATGATTCTCTCAATAATAATATTTAAAGTTTCATTAAATAATTATTTATAAATTAATGAATTTCATAAATATGTATATATTATATTTCAGAAGTGTTCTACAAATTATGAGTTTTGGCTATAATAGCAAAGTGCTGACATTTCCAGGACTAAAACTACAAAAACTTTTGTTCTATAAAGATATAAGTAGAGTCCAGGCAGATTGCAATTTATTTGGTTTGACATTTACTAATGAAAATGTTTTATTTCAAAAATCACAGTTTAACGAGCAAGTTTTGCAAGTTAGTACAAAATTCAGAGATTATGTAATATTTTTTATATTTTTCGTATTATCATTCCTTTTTATGTTACAGGCCAATCCCGAGATGTATTACACTTCTGCCACGTTACATAAATTTCTACCAAAAATTCTGTTGGAATGTACCTCTAATCAGTAATAAATGTTGATATACTCTTCTAATACAGTATTTACATTTATTGAGAATCACTGGACGAGCTACTCGAAGAATCTGTAGACATAACTTCAACATCTTCAGTTTCTTGTTTATGTGTATTCACAGCCACGCTCCCTTGTCCACCAACAGACATATGAATCTCTCCTGATGGATGCCAAGCAAATTGATTTGATTGTGAAACAGGTGGTTCTGAAATAACAATGGGAAATCTTAAAAGATATGCTCATTTTAATTATTTATTTAAGCATGATATATGTGTGTGTATTTTTTACCTCCAGCAGGATGTCCTGCTCTATGCAAATCAGATGGTATACCTGGATGAGATCCAAGCAATTGTCCATTTAAAGGTAAATCACTTAATCGTCCCAGGTATCCTAATCTCATTTCGATATCTATAATATAAAAAAATGCAGAGTTTATAATTTGTTATAAATAATAATTTATTATTATTATATGATAATAAGATTATTATAAGCAAGAGAAAAATGTGATCCAAAGATCTTATTTAAATATAAATATAACATCCATACCTGTTGGATATGGTCTTCTGGGATCTCCTTGCTGCCATGTCAATGGTGCACAAATTGCATTGGTTGCGCTTATCCTATGTGCATATTTAATAAGCTCTTCTGAGGGAACAGGTCTCTTATTAGCACGTGCAATAGACTGTAATTTTTGCTTTGCTTGGTAAATTGCAGTAGCTAAGATCTGTTCCGCCTCTTTTAATTGCCTCTGCAGTTGTTGAATATCTTGATCCTGTCTTTCTACTTCAGCTTTCAAAGCTTCCATCTTTAGGTTAATCTTGGCTTGTTCGGCAGCTTGTTTCAATGTCGCCTTTAATTCATTATCCTTGGCAACCAACAATTCAGTTAGTTGAGCGTGCTCTGTACTAGAGAGCTTTGAAGGTTTTTGAGCGATGGTGTTTTCTATAATTTCTCTGAAAAATAATAAATAATAATAATATAATATAAAAAAATAATAATATATTTAAATCACAAGTTATGTAAATTGAGAGTATATAAAATTTCATTTCAACATTGTTATGTTAATCCAATAAATTCCTGTAAATTGCAGGGCAAATTGTCAGATTTTACTCATAGTGTTAATACACAACTTACTTTGCTATTAGCTCAATATCATCCACTAATGATAATAGAACTTCTCTCGTACTTCTGCTTGATGCCATTATAATTCGTTGTTTAACAAACTGTCAAAAATGAATACTTCCAATTGTTAATAATTATAACATAACAGCACTCAGATCAATTGTAATATACATGTAACATCAACTCTTTTGTTGTACTTTTTCAATAAAATGATGAATACGTATATATATTTTAAACACACATTCTGAAATCAGCTGTGCCTTGATTAGCTTTGACGTGACTTTTTAAAAATGCGCTTACAATTTTACGCTGCAATTACATCCATACAACAAATACTTTAGATGCGCTCCCTTTGACGTTACGAAAGTTTCGCAGAGAGAAGCCTGAGAGAGGTCACGCCGCCGTTTTTCGTAAGACACTTTTTCTAGCTGGTACAGTAGCGTCAACTAGATCCATTTTAGAGCTGGTGGAACTACATGGCCAGATTCACTTTTCGTGCTACGGTAAAACATCTTCTCCTTCTTCTTTCTTTTATGGCTGGTTGGGCATTAGTCGCCCATACACCATTGTTTCTTATGGGTTTGTAAGATATAAGCAAAAACTCCTCTTAAGAGAGGAGGAAGTCCAAAAAAAAGGTCCAGACAAAGGACATACGCAGTATGCAAAAACACGTCCGAACCCGACACGTTGTCAGTCGGAACTGCTACGGTAAAACAACCGGTTGGTACATATATATGCTAGATTCTAGATCCATAATTGTGGATCAAAATTGCGGAGAAATATTATGGATTTATTAATGTTTTGTTAGCTATGCGTGATGTTTTGCTATTCTAGTATATATTACGGACAGCGATAATAAAAATTATTATTGAATTATTGAATATTTTTATGTATATACGCATGTGACATAAAATAAATGTTCTTGAATTAATTTTCTTAAATTAATCTTCTTAATAATTTGTTTCCCAATTTTTAAATATATAACGTGTAGAAGATATATACAATAAATTGCTTTTACTTTTTTCTTATTCTTGAAACAAAATTATCAAGCATTTTAAGCAATATCAAATTATTATGCTTTTAATTTATATAGCTTTTTTGTAATTAATTATTAATTTATTATTAATTATATTATTCAAGTAATTTTTAAATTTATAAATTCAGTTGGATATACCTAGTGCACACTGATGAACACTAAAAGCTATTATATATAAATTCATATAAGCATAATTTATATATAAACATAAGTAAAACGATAAGATAATTAATACTATACAAGTCTTTTGAAAATAAACATAACATAGATAATTTTACTTGGTTAATAAGATTTTTGCAAATAAAATGACATTAAAAAACGCGACATTATTTGGATAAATTTCAGTTAGATATAAATTAAATGTTAAATACAAATTAAAAATTAGATGGAACATTTTTTTCCTTATCTAACAATAAGTAAAAATTATCCGAATTATGTCGTATTTTTGTGTGATGTCATTTTAATTAAAAATTTCATTAATCCATTAAAATTATTTTCAAAAAATTACTTTCTAAAATAAAACAAATGTTTTAGTTTTTATTACATATGATTTTTTGACGTATCGTCAAAGAGTTTCGTAGTCTCTTACATGCGAGGGGCTTATTCCTTTATTATATTTCAGTAGTATTTCACAAGTATATATATATGTGTCATATTACCATAGAAAATGAAACTTTTATATTTTGCATTTTACCTGTTTGAAAATAATTTTAATGGATTAATGATTTTTTGCGATTAAAATGATACCAGACATGACATAAAACTGATAATTTTTAGTTAAATACGTAATCAAAATTTTGATTATTAGTTTAATTAAAAATTATCCAATTTATGTTGTGTTTGATACCATTTTAATCGTAAAAATCTCATTAATTCATTAACATTATTCTCAATCAAAATACAAGTAAGAATCTTTCTTAAAGTAAGAATCAAAGTGACAGAAATCGAAATTATAAATTATCGTTTTGTTGCGATCCTTACGAACAATAACTATTTTTCTATCGATACTTAAAGTAAAGATATTTTGTCCCATGCTTTATCATACGACTTTTTGATTATTTAAATATAATTTAGATTGAGAACGCGCAATTAAACAATCAAACCGCAGGATTGAGTAATTAATATAACGATAAGCTCGGTGATATATTAATCGTTTATTAAATAATTGATCTATAATTTAAAATATTTGTATAATTTAATATTCCGCTTGTATATATATACGTCATAGTACGCAAGATATTTTCGGCTGCGAATTATTAACATGGTATTCGGCCTTGGCGGCGTAAACATTGACGCGCGTAAACATTGTTTACGTATCACAGCTTTGTTATTATTCATACGAAGACACTTGAATAGAACTGTAGTGGGGCGAGACCTTCGTAAAATTCCTTTTCTAAACACGATCGCGACAATTATCGAGAAATAATTTGATATAATTAATAATTAATTATCTCTCTTTTCTTTCTTTTCTAGACAACAATTATTTAAAAATACTTAAAATTAAATATATTTCGTCCGATGTTTTTTCGTTTGACTTCTCGACGATCTAATCTAAATTCGGATTGAGAACGCGCAATAAAATAGTCTAATCGCAGATCCGAGTAATTAACATAACGATAAGCTCCGTAATATATTAATCATTTTAAATTCGTTTTATTAAATAATCGATCTATAATTTAAAATACTTGTATAATTTAATATTCCGTTTGTATATACGTCATAATACGGAAAATATTTCGGCAGCAAATTATCAATAACATAGTATTCGGCCTTGGTGGCGTAAACATTGACGCGCGTAAACACTGTTTACGTATCACAGCTTTGTTATTATTCATACGAAGACACTTGAATAGAACTGTAGTGGGGCGAGACGCTCAAATTCCTTTCCTACGTATTATTATTATTTGCATGATTTAAACAAGCGCGCTAATGTTTACGTGCTTCGGCCTTCTTATCATTCGCCCGACGACACTCGAGCAGTAAAGTAATAATGCCGCGGACGGCTCGTCGTATCATTGGTGCCGTCATCGTGCCGTGGA